GAAACACGTATATATCATTAATTAGAAATTTCTTCTGTGGTAGGCAACATTTTCAATTCCATTTGTTTTCACAGATCCCTAAACCACTTGAACTTCTGTGTAATGCATATGTCTCACTCAGGACAGTGTTGTCCAGTTAGACCCACAGTATTTTGCCGTCAGAGGATATTTTAAATGGAAAGGCAGGCTTACTCGTGCCTTACAGTGTATAGATATTAAGCATTCTACACACAATTATGTGCATTCATCTTTTAAGAAAACTTACAAATGAAATGTAAACTGACAGGAATTGGATTAGGTAGAAAATCAAATAAAGAATGCAACTGGAAAGTCTTAATGATCTGATACCTTCCACCCCTGCTGTAAAAATAAATGCATTTGTTCAGTTGAAAGAAATCAGTAATTACATTTTCTTTCTCTGCTATCTCACCCCCCTCCCCAGCTTCTCATACACAACTATACGAATGTAACTCTAAAAAGGAATCTAATTCGGTTGGTGATGCATTTGTGTTGTGAAGATACGCTATACCTATATTGACTCTTTGGAAAAGATTTGCAACAAAAAGAAAATCATCTGGGAATTAGACCTTCACTTAATAGAGAAAGCATATTACATACCGTGTTAGTTTGCCAGGGTGGCCATAATGAAGTAACACCAATTGTGTGGCTTAAGCAATTGAAATTTAATTTCTTACAGTTCTAGAGGCTAGAAGTCTAGATCAAGGTGTTGGCAGGGTTCGTTCCTTCTGAGGACTGTGAGGGAGAATCTGTTCCATACTAAGCCCTTAGCTTCTGGCGGTTGGCTGGCAATCGTTAGCATTCCTTGGCTTTTAGAAGCATCATCAAGGTCTCTGCCTTCATCCTGACAAGGCATTCTCACTATGTGTGTGTCTCTATGTCCAAATGTCCTCTTTTAATAAGGACACCAGTTATGTTGGATTAGGGCCCACTCTAATGACCTCACCTTCACCAATTATATCTGGAATGACCATATTTTCAAATAAGGCCACATTCTGAGATACTGGGGGTTAGGACTTCAACCTATGAATGCTGGTGGGGGGGGACACAGTTCAACCCATAACATATAATGGAGTGTTCAATATATATCTGACACACTGAACTGAAGCATAATATACTTGTGAAGAGCTAGAGGGGCATGTACTTGGGAGGAGACACCTCTCAAAACCTCTGATGTTAGTGTAACCATGTATATATCTTAGCAGCCAAAGTAATTCAAATCTCTATCCTTCCTTAAAGTAACTTCTAGCGGCTGTTCTTGATTTTAATTCTGAAGTATCTGTAACACCAAAGAATGAACACATGGAAATTTTTCCAGAAATGTATTTGAATGTTCCACCATCCTCCATAACATACGAATGTTTTCTAATACATACAAAGAAGATTTCCATGAGTTCCACCTGGGTAATCTTGACTCTCTACTGTAAAGATGGGTCATGCTTACACTGTAGTTTCTCATTCTCTCAGGAACATATTGGTTTTGACTATCATACAATTTGAGGAGGGTGTCCTTACTGCCTAAGGACTTTATGTTCCTGAGTATATGTCCAAAGCAGTGAGATAGACCCTGGGTAAGTCTTTGGTTGAAATAATTTGAAAGAATGTGTTTAACCCAGACTTAAGTTCCAAATCAAACTTAAGGAAGAACTTTCCCTTTACTACTTATTTTTCCCCCAATTTCTATTGAGGATACTTATATACATAGTTTAAAATGTCAAAATTCTGTAAGTCTTATAACTAAAGTTGACAATCCCTATCCCACCTGTCCCCATCCCAAATTATTGCTACCCAGAAACAACCCCTGCTAACACTTTTAGGTCTTTCTTTTGGTATTTACCTTCATATTTCTGAATAGCATTTTTATAATGTTTCTTCCTCGTGTTTTTCATTTTGATTATCATTTATCATTGATTTCTGTGTAAGAAGGGGCTTTAATACTCTCGTATCTCTTTTTATTCTTCCCTCTGCTCACTTCATCTTCCTACTACATGAGTTGGCCAAAAAGTTCGTTCGGGCTTTTCCGTAAGATGTTACAGAAAAACCCAAACAAACTTTTTGGCCAACCCAATAGTTATATCGTGATTTTTGGTTAGTTGAATATTTGTTTAGATTTTTAGGACTATGTAAATACTTTGCACAACTAGCCACGTAGTGAACCTTCTTTGTAAAATAGTTTTTTTTTTCCCTCTTGTATTAATAATTGTCAGGGTTGGGTTTCTTTCTTTCTTTCTTTCTTCCTTCCTTCTTTCCTTCCTTCCTTCCTTCCTTTCTTTCTCTCTTTTGCTTAGTTTTTGATATATCTATCATTAATTCACCTCCAAACTCACTGCCAGAGCATAAATTCCTTTCAATAGTTCATCAGTAGTTCAAACCTTTTTTTCTTTTCTTTTCTTTCCTTTCCTTTCCTTCCGTCCTCCTCTCTACACCCCCCTCCCTCAAGCGCTCCCCCGACTCTTCTCTCTCTCTCACACACACAACACACACACGCGTGCGTGCGCACACACGCACACACACACGCACACACACACTTTCTGTCTTGATGCATCCCTCCTGGAGCCCTGTATCTTCCTGCTCCAATCAGAGATCCTGATTGCTCCCTAGGCTGCTGCCTTTAGCTGTCATTCTGGGTCTTTCATTATCATCCTTCTGGGATTCCCTTTACCTCATTCCTGTGATCAATCCCCTATCTCTTGTTTCTTGGATTTCATATATTCTTCTTTCCTAATTTACTTTCTTTTGGGGGATCACATTTTTAGTAGCTTCCTGAGAAGAGGCACTTGGGAGGTAAATATTCTGAGACGTTGTGTGCCAGTTATCAATTACTGCCTCTCGGCTCCATTGTCCTTCTTTATGGAAGTAGAGGTGGACCTTGTGAACATGTCTCCTTTTCCAGCAGTGTTAGGTTCGGTCAATAACCAGGTTCTGGAAGGACATTGCAAGGCATGGCAGAGGAAAGGGCTTCTCCTTCTAGGTCCCACGTGCAGCTGCCAACAGGTGTGCAGGGAACTCAGTGGTTCTTGCCCTCCAACAGGTTTCTCCACTCACCTCCAGTGAGTTCCTCCAGTTCTCCAACAAGTGACTTCTAGTGAGCCACCTCCCGCTTGCTCCAGTGGGTGGCCTCCTGCACACTGGCTGCAGTTCACCCCACCCCAGTGGGCAGCTTCCTGTGGACCAGCTGTGGCCCACGGTACCCTAGTGAACATCTCCACCAACTAATGGGTCTCAGCAGCGCCCTCTATGATGAGGTCTGAATCTCAGCCTTAGGGAGAGGAGGCTCTTCTGAGTTTATTCCTTCCTTGGTTTGGGGTACTCTGCCTCAGCCCTAGAAGAAGTAACTGCTGCCTACACCTGGTACTCCTGTATGCTTTAGGGTTCTTTTTCAAGGGATCTATTTTTCTTTTTTATAAAATTGAAGTATAGTTGATTTACAGTGTTGTTAGTTTCAGGTGTACAGCACAGTGATTCAGTTATATATATATATATATATATATATATATATATATATATATATATATTATTTTTCCAATTCTTTTCCCATATAGGTTATTACAAAATATTGAGTATAGTTCCCTGTGCTATACAGTTGGTCCTTGTTGGTTATTTATTTTACATATAGCAATGTATATATGTTAATCCCAAACTCCTAATTTATCCCTCCTCCCCTAGGGTTCTTTCTTTTCTTTTCTTTTTTGTGTATTTTTACCACATTTATTAGTTAAGCATCTTCTACTAATTAATAATTCTTCATAATAAATTTTCCTTGTTCCAGTCAGAATACCCACTTGGCACATCTAAAAATGTCTTTATCCTCTTATTTGATTACTTGGTTAGGTAGAGAATTCTGGGTTGAAAATAATTTTCCTTAGAATTTTGAATACTGTTACATTTTTCTACTTTCCATTGTTATTATGAAGAAGTTTGATGCTCTTCAGCTTCCTGATCTCTTGTATAGGATAGTTTGAAAAATCTGTGGAAGCTTTTAGGATCTTATCTTTATTACCAGGGTTCTGAAATTTTATGACATATCATGGCACGGTAGGGTGTAGGGCATAATCCGAAAACTCATGTCATTGAGTCCTAGGACATTCTCTTGGATTATTTCTATAATAACACCCTCCTCTTCATTTTCTCTACTCATTCTTTCCAGAATACCTATTACATGGATTATTGGTTAGTCCAGACTGGTCCTCTAATTTTCTCTCTCTTATTCCACCTCTGCCTTTTTTTTCGTTCTGTGAGAGTAATTCAGCTCTATCTCACAATCTGTCTTTGCTATTGTGTGTCTTACTTAAGGACTGAGGCACTAAGAAACTGTATTCAAGCCCTTGCGTGGGTGGTGGTGATGCTTCTGGAATGGCGATCTTCATCACAGGGTGACTAGGGTGGACAGTGTCATAAGGATGCTCTGCAGTCAGTATCTGTGAGTCTCTCGGGTTGGTCAATTTTCCCAGAGAAGAATCTTTCCATTTTCTGCTTGTGGGTATCAACCTGAATGCCAGCATTCTTGGGCATCAGATTAAAGAAAGGCAATGAGATTCTCACCTTTCATATGCAGACTTTCATTACCAGCAGTGTATCCCTGTCTTTGGCTTCCTGATGTCCTATGTCCTGAGCCACCTGGTGCAGCTCCTTCGGAGATTAAACCAGTCTTCTACTGGGATGTTGAAAAGGTAGTCACTATGTGAGGTAGAAGAAGGGATTTGAGAGCTTTATTTCCTACACAGATTTACCCTGTCCTGTTTTTAGCCCCACCTGACTTTGAGGTATATGATACCCATAATTTCTGAGCCTTTTTGAGGTTCTGTGGAGTTCGTTGTTTTGATTCTGTGTAACCCTACTTTGTCTCGCTGCTGGTTTAAATTTCAGCATTCTTTTATCTCATAAGTCATTTACCACTCATCTATTTACTTTCCAAATTCTAACATGTTATGCTGTCATATCCTTTCTCTTTCTCATGGCCTTTCTTGGTTTATGTCTTTTAGGAAATCTATTTCATGTCGTGAGGTTCTGGAAGGAAGTGGAGGTAAATATATGTGCTTAATTTGTCATGTATGATCAGAAGTCTCTTTTGCTTCTTAAAGCTCCATTCTAGGACTTCCCTTGTGGCACAGTGGTTAAAAATCCGCCTGCCAATGCAGGGGACATGGGTTCGAGCCCTGGTCCGAGAAGATCCTACATGCCACAGAGCAACTAAGCCTGTGCACTGCAACTACTGACCCTGCACTCTAGAGCCCATTAGCCACAAATACTGAAACCCACATGCCTAGAGCCCGTAGTCCGCAACAAGAGAAGCCACTGCAATGAGGAGTCCACGCCACAACTAAAGACCGCACGCAGCAACAAAGACCCAATGCAGCCAAACATAAATAAATAAAATAAATAAATTTATTTTTAAAAAAGCTTCATTCTAAGAGATATGGAATAGGAAAAAAGTTCTCCCATTAGGCCTCTGGGTTGACCTAGATGAAAAGGCCACATTTTCTAAATGCAAAGCTTACTACTGGGAAAACAGAAAATTTGAATCAGGATATCCTACATGAATACAGACCTTTCAGACCGCAAGCATCAACATTTCCAGCATATTAGAAATTTACTAAATTAATAGATTAAAAAATACATTCAAGATTAATAGATTAAAAATATAATCAAGATGGCCAAAATTAAAAGCAGTCTATACATTCCACGATAACATGCTTCTTGATATGAATGGACTGGATAATCTATCCCAAATCTCAAAAGATAATTGGAAGCAGAAAGTTATGCCCTTCATGTATCTAAATTGGTTTGCAACCTAAATTATTTATAAAAGAGAAAATTAACTAATTTCTTTCTTTCTTAATATTCTCCATGTTTAGAGATTTTCTATCTATTGTCACTTCTCTAAAATTTCAGAGAAAGAGAGAAAGGGGTTTGGTAGAGATGAGCAGAGGGGAACAGGTTACAAGCTGTAGTAGGTGACCACTTGGACCTTTATATTCATTCATCAGCAAATTTATACTCATCACCCACCAGAAATGTGTGAAAACAATGTATGAAAATATCTGCTTCTCCTCACTCTCACCGATAATCTAAAATAATTTAAAATTCCTTGATTCTTTGTATTTAAAATGTTTTCTTTCTCTGTACATTAGTAATAGATATAATAATTTTGAAGAATTTAAACCAATGTAGTCTTAGATTTCTTTTAAAAATGTGAAGCTCACTGGATGATGTCTTTACTCACTGAATCAGTATTTCATTGTTTTAGAGAGAGGGCAGATACCAGCTAGAAAAACAAAGTTATTGTTCAGTTCTGACTGCCATTTTTTTTTTTTTTTTTTGCATCTGAATAAGAGAAAAGTCTTAAAAGCCAGGCTTGGTTTACAGAGAAAATGTCAAGCCTTCCCTTTACTTACCAAAACCAAAGCTCAAAGATCTGAACATAAAGTTCTGCATAAGAGAACTTGGAATATGAAATAAAGCAACACCTCCTTGCCTGGAGAGGAAGTGGATGGCATTTCCAGCTGAAGGATGGAGTGGGTGGAAGGAGGAAGATTCAGAAGGCGCAAGATTAGGGTGGAGAAACCAGGAGATTCCTGAGAAAGGATCCAGCAACCATACTCCTGTGCTAAAGGGTGAGGGTGTGCATGTGAGATCAGAGAAACTTCCGATGGATTGAGGGAGACTCTGGTAATATCTAAGCTTGCACTTCATGCTATGAAGGATAAGGCTTAATCTATTCCCACTTGAGAATAAATAAGGAACACCATCTGCAAATAAGTGACACCTTGCAACTTGGTCTTCTATTCACAAACTGCTATTTTAATAATAATAATGATAATAGGTAATTATAAAAGCTCTTTTTATGGGTTGGACACTGTGCTAAGTATGCTACATGGATTATCTCATTGTTGTTTCACAGTAGTCCTAAAAGAGACACTATTTCACTGAGGGGGCAGTGGAGTTTAAAGATAAGTACCTTGCCCACGATGACTTGTTAGTAAGTGGTGGAAACAGGATAGGGACCAAGCTCTAGCTCTCCAAGCTCTGAATCCCTCTGCAGTGCAGCCTCTCTCCTGTGCCCCTCCTCTTCCCTTCCACCCTCCCAAAAAGCCTTTCTGCTCTCCTCAACCTCTCCCCAAACAAAAGAGGCTAAGCTCTATAACTAACCACCCATATTAGTTCAGAGTTTGACTAACTGCAGTGTACTTGAGACTCATTCACACTAAACTGTTACCTCAAACAGACACTTAGTTATTTTTTAACTTTAATGAGGTATCTTCTACATATTGTAAAACTCACTCATTGTAAGTGTCCAATTCAGCAATTTTTAGTAAGCTTACTGAGCTGTGCAACCATCCCTATAATCCAGTTTTAGAATATTTTCTTCACCCCCTCTTATGTCCATTTACAGTATACCCCTGTAGTCACCCTCAACCCCAGACAACCACTAATCTACTTTCTGTCTCTATAGATTTGCCTTTTCAAGACATTTCATATAAATGAAAGCATACAGTATGTGGCCTTCTGTGTTTAGCTTCTTTTACTTAGCATAGCATTTTTGAGATGCTGTAGTAGGCATCAACTCATTCTCTTTTTATCACGGAATAGTATTCCATTCTGTGGATATACTACATTTTGCTTCTGTGTTCGCTAGACCTTCACTGGACATTTGGGTTGTTTCCAATTTGGGGCTATTATGAATAATGCTGCTGTGAGCACTTGCATGCTGGTCTTTGTGCAGACGTATGTTTCCATGTCCCTTGAATAGGTGTCTAGGAGTAGAATTGCTGGGTCATATGGTAAGTTTATGGTTAACTTTTTAAGAAACAGCTAGTTGCATTTTAAGCCTCATCTCTGAATGTGAATTTCAAGTCTTTTCCCTCATTTAAAGGAATTTCAACCATCAGTAAGCAATGGGAACTCTGACTTCATTCTCTCTCTTTTAAAAATAATTTTAGGGGCTTCCCTGGTGGCGCAGTGGTTGAGAGTCCGCCTACCAATGCAGGGGACACGGGTTCGTGCCCCAGTCCGGGAAGATCCCACATGCCGCGGAGCGGCTGGGCCCGTGAGCCATGGCCGCTGAGCCTGCGCGTCCGGAGCCTGTGCTCCGCAACGGGAGAGGCCACAACAGTGAGAGGCCCGTGTACCGCAAAAAAAAATAATAATAATAATTTTAAAAACACATTTATTTATTTATTTTTGGCTGCGTTAGGTCTTCATTGCTGTGCGCGGGCCTTCTCCAGCTGTGGTGAGCAGGGGCCACTCTTCGCCGCGATGCATGGGCTTCTCATCGTGGTGGCTTCTCTTGTTGCAGAGCACGGGCTCTAAGCATGCGGGTCTCAGTAGTCATATGTGGGACCAGCAGCTGTGGCTTAGGGTCTCTAGAGTGCAGGCTCAGTAGTTCTGGTGCACGGGCCCTGTTGCTCTGCAGCATCTAGGATCTTCCCAGACCAGGGCACGAACCCGTGTCCCCTGCATTGGCAGGCGGATTCTTAACCACTGTGCCACCAGGGAAGTCCCTGACTTCATTCTTCTTTTTTTTTTTTTTTTTAAGGTTTTCAAAATAATGTTTATTTCTTAAAAGTTAACATGTGCATAATAGGAAACCAAAGAACACAAGAAGCCTGACTTCATTCTTTAAGGATGCTTTGCAGAGTGCCCCGGGCCCTCACTGAAGACAGCCGTGGCTCCCTGTGCCACACAGCTCCTCCCTACTTGGGGTCAACTGTTGAAGGCTCCTGAGGTCAAGCCCGGTTGTCATGGGGACCGCAGAGGACTCCTGCAAGGGCTGGTGCTCTACAGGAGATCCACCAGGAAGTCTTTTCCTTCTAGACAAACTGGCAGTCTACAGACTGAATTCAGCCTACAGATATGTATTGTTGGCCTACACAAATTTTTAAAAATTAGAGTGTTTATAGATTGGTCATACATTCTCCACTTTACCTGCATTTCTTATCACTTCCCCTTGACTTAACACAAGAACAAAGTTGGAGGACTCACACTATCTGATTTCAAGACCCGCCATCAAGCTGTAGTAGTCAAGACTCTGGTATTTGGTGAAAGAATGGACATACGGATAAATGGAACCGAATAGAGAGTCCAGAAATAGACCCGCTTTCTGCAGTCAATTGATATTTGACAGAGATGCCAAGGCAACTTAATACAGAAAAGACAGTCTTTTTAAGAAACAGCGCTAGAAATTCGACACCCATATGCCAAAAAAACCCACAAAAACTAAACAAAACAAAACTAAATACCCCTGCTCTTCAAAAACACTGTTAAGAGAATGAAAAGAAAGTCACAGATTGGGATAAAATATTTGCAAAACACTTACCTCCTAAAGGACTGGTAACCACATTACAAACATAAAGAACTTTAAAAAACAATAATAAAAAAACCAAACAACCCAATGTGAAAATAGGCGAAGTGTTTAAACATATACCACACCAAAGAAGATATACAGATGGCAAATAAGTACATGAAAAGATGCTCAACACTACCGGTCATTAGGGAAATGCAAATTCACATCACAGTGTGTTACCGTTACACATCTAATAGGTGTGTAACATAGGTAATGGCTAACATTAAAAACCAAAATAAAAACTTCTTTTGATAACAAATGCTGACAAGGATGCAAAGCACCTTGACCTTTCGTACATTGCTAGTGGGAATGAGAAATGTTAACAAGCTTTGTGGACAACAGTTTGGCATTTAATAAACTGTTAATAAAGTTAAGCATATACTTCCTGTAAGATTCAGAAGTCCCACTCCAAGGTACTTATCCAAGAGACATAGAAACTTATGTTCACACACACAAAATTGTATATGAATGCTTATAGCTGTTTTATTCATAATCGCCCCAAACTGGGAACAAACCAAATGCTCGTCCACTGGTACATGGGTACGGAAACTGGTACACCCACACTGTGGAAGAGTATTCAGCCATTAAAAGGAACCGACGGCAGATAAACATGACAACTTGAGTGAATCTTAAATGCATTATGCTAAGTGAAGGAAACCAGCCTCAAAAGGTTTAACACTGTACAAGTCCATTTATGTGAAGTTCTTAAAAAGGCAAAACACAGAAAAAAGATTAGTGCACTGGTGGGTTGAACTTGGGGGAAGAGGTTGAATAGAA